TTTACAATTAATTAAAATGATTCATTTATTAAGTTTATTACAAGTGCCTATTTTTCTCTTTATATTTACTTTTTGGTATCCATTTAAAAAGCAATCCTGGTAGGGTCTTTCTCAAGAGTACAGCTGCAGCACTTCAGATGGGATTTTAACCTGCAACCCTTGGATCAGGAGTCCTGAGTGTTTTGCTTCATATTTGACATCCACTTTAGATTTACAGATTGGTTGTTGTTTTTTTTTAATTCATTGTCTCTCTGCACTTCCTCTATATCTCATTCACACAAACAGAAAACAGAAGGATCGCTTTGTGGAAGAGCTCTGTCATTGAGGAGAGCTCCATTTCCTTCTCCCATGTGTATGTACCATATGTCACAGCCCTACCTGTGACTTCTCCGTTTTTGGTGTCAGAATGACAGTGAAGACAAAGGCGTGTTCTGTTGAAAGGGCTGGATTCACTAAAGAGCTTAGGCAATGCTGATATGAACAATGATTTACAACATCACCCAGAATCAGACTTGATTCAAATGTAAAGCTCCCCTGCAGTTTTCAATACTAATTTCAAATAACATCAGTAGAAAACTTAACGGGTTGGTAATCCCCTGTAGCACCAGTCTTTTTTCAGGTGTGGTCTGCATGAAAAATGATGGAATTTCCTCCTTTTGCCTTTCACCTTGCTTCACAATTAGCATGATTGTGAGGTTTGTGTGATTGAAGTGCTGATGTTCTGTGTGTAATGAATTGGAGAAGAAGTTATATTTTTGAGACTGCTGTATTTTTTTGTCCCTGGCCTCCTGTAGGACATTTGATGTGGTAGGATTTGGGGGAGGGGGAGTTGTGATTTTCTAGGTGTTTCAGAAGGTTCGTCAGGGGAGTTGTATTCCTGCAGGGGCCTGTCCTGTCATCAGGAGAGCAAGTGTGACTGAGTGCCTGTTTGAGTTCTGATTTGATGAGTGGTGGACTGTGATTCAGCTTCCCTCTAGCGTTTTAACTTCTTGCTTGATACATTATTGAAAGCCACCCCTGCAGCCTTTTTACTAAGATTTGAAAATGAAAAATTTACATTATAAAACTTAGCTAATAGCGAGACAAGACAGAAGTGCTGGCATGAGAGTCAACAGAGAGGGAAATGTAATGAAGGGGAAGGGGAGTGTGTTTATCAATTTGGTTAAATTTGATTTATCTTTTTTTTTGAGTGGTGGAACAGTTAAAAGTTTTTTTTTTGTTTTTTTATTGTTCAGTTTTTGTTTTTCTTCCCATGTCAGACTTCAAGTTCAAGTTGATAGAGCCATGTTTTTAATGTCTGTATTTTGTCCATTTCTGCTAATGTACCAATACTTTGTCCATTTCTGCTTTTATAAGTTATTAAAAGAAAAGTAAGAATTATATGATGTTAATGAGCACTTGCACATGAATCTGCCTTTTCAGAAGATCTCAAGCTGTCTTTTAATAAATTGTTTAGTTCTGCAGTCTCACAGGATAAAAGCATCTTCTTAGAACACGGGGGAAAATAGAATATGTTGCTAGGCAGAACATTTAAAGGAGCCCAGTCATTAAAACTACAGCAAAGACTACATCATTCCTGGCACACAGCACAAAGATTGTCTTGTGTTTTTATTTTGCACATTTTTAAGTAAAACGTTGCAGATCTAAATAAAAAGCATCAGTGTTACAACAATCATTAAAGCAAAATGTCCTATTTACTGAAAAACACCATTCGTTTTGTTTCTTTTTTTTAAAATGAGATTTTATTACCTTATGCGGATTATGATAGAAACATAATACCTTCTAAATTAAAAGGAAAATAAAAAAAACTTTTTAACACACTTGTCCACTCAGGACATCTTTGCACAAATACAAATGATCGAAGCTGAAAATAATTTTATGTGTGAGGTTTCTTCTGTTTTGGGCTATAACAACAGATTTGTTTTTCTAATTTTTACAATAAAGAAATTTTACAATTTAGAGTTTAAATGTTGATTTATTGATACAAATTTAATTTAGCAACATCTGAAGTCATTGTTTCTCATTACGCACTGCAAAACTGAATTTTTGTTGTACATGTTCATATTATGTACACTTAAAAATTAAACTAATAAATTAATCCATAGCTCTTGCTGAGATCAGGCCCACTTGCTGAAAATTAATTAAGTTAAATTAAATGTACAGTGATATATATGAGTAAGTGCATGCTGTCTCCCTTTAAGTGAAAGATATAGATCTAAAAACATTCATTCTTGTTTTTAACCTTTGTTTCAGGGTGGAACGAACTCTTAATTGCTTCATTCTCACACCGTTCCATAGCAGTTAAAGATGGAATCCTTCTAGCAACTGGCCTCCATGTCCATCGCAACAGCGCACACAGTGCAGGGGTGGGAGCCATCTTTGACAGGTGTGTTTCCCATCTTATGGAGTTTATAACAGAAGTTCAGTTGGAAGGTCAGATCCTAATCTTACCCCACTCCCTCTCTCCTTTACATATACTCAACTTCAAGACCTTGCACGGTTCCTCTTGCAGCCCTACCACCAACCCATCTACATCCTTGCAACAGCTCCCTAGCTCATTCCTCACAATAGTGAGGGAGGATTCAATCAGCTTTATCATTGCAGCTAGGCTGCCCTTTCCTCAGATAGGCAAGTTACACCAAATAACCTCTAATACATTTAATCCCTCTATTGCATTCATTAGGATCTAACTGAACTACTGAAATAATGCTTTGCGCCATGGTTTGGAGTTCTATATTCAAGAGGCACAGTTAATGCTCCGAGCTATGGATTTATAAAACATTTTCTGCCTGAAAGTGAAATTTAACTTTCTCAGGAGAAGCCCATCACATTTCTAAACCTTTTATAGTTCCATTATAGCCAAGGTCATTGAATCATTCAGCAGGGTGTTCCCTAGGGCAAGACATTGCCTCTTGAGAAATAAAAACACAAGGCTTTAGAAATTATTAGTGTTTTTTTTCCAGTTTCCAAATAGTCAGACTCAGTTGGATATAATCTTTTGAATATTTCAATGAAGCAGAAAGATAAGGTCACAGATTAGCACGGTTTAAATTGAAATCTTCGCACTGCACTGGAGAACAGGACTTTAAGTTAGTTCCTGAAAAAATTGAAATAAGTCAAAGCGTACTAGAGCCCACTTAATGTATTCTAACACAAGATAGTGAAGTATATAAAAATATTACTTTTTAATTTGCAATCCAGCATTTCTAAGGATACCATTTCAGTCTCTTACAAATCACTGAAAGGACCTTGAACTATTAAAATGAGGACCCTTTAGATGTAGAGCAGTGATCGCAGCATATTACCCAGCTCTCTAGAGAGCAACTGTTAGACAGCATATGGCCAATGAAATAGATAGGATAACTTAAAGAGTTTAATCATTCCATTTACAGTGGTCCCTGGGGCAAATTAAATTAATCAAAGTGCCATAACTCTTGAAAATGAGCCTCACTTATAAAGAGCATTAAATGGATCAAAATTAGAAGGATGAGAACTGGGGATCATTTATAGCACACAATGCGTTGCTTAAACAAAGGAATCAGACAAGTGTGGAGCAAGGTAGGTTCATAGAGTTTATACAGCACTTTCCATTTAATTTAATTTCAAGACCTTCTTAGTCATGTCCTTCCACATGGCAAATGTATAGTTTATGTGTGTATTCTAAAGAAGTCTGTGGTGTCAAATACTACCTCATAAAGTGGAACACTATGGTGTGGAATGAGATACTTTTTATTTATTTATAGTTTAATATGCTGTAAATACAATCCAAGGCTGTAGGCATAAAGGTTCCAACATGTGTAGTATTTGTGATGTAACAGAAGCAAATATTTTATAAAACAGCAGAATTGTAAAGTAATAACATACAAAAGATAAATTATTAAAATGGATTTTATGTATGTTCTCCAGTTTTATTATACTGTTTGTGTGTTCAGATGTTTTATCTAAAGTGTCTGTGTCTTTATTTTAAACTTGAGAGCAAAAAGGACACACTGCCCTCCTGAGGTAATTAGATTGGCTATTTACCCTCAGTGGAAAATTGGGCCCCTGTTATTGGAGCCTTTAGATGTCTCAACTATATTTGTTTTGTTCAGGAAAAAAGCTGTGTAATTATAATACTGAGCAATAACTATAATAAGAGCAACAGAATCCACTGCATGGGGTTTGAATGTATTTGTTAACTTGTGTTTTATTTTCTGTGTGTTTGAGGGAGGTGGAGGGTCAGTAAATATTTATATGCTTGTTTTTAATTATGTAAACCAGAGACATGTGCTTTCATCATTGCCCAGTCTCATTAGCTGTTCCTGCTGTTGTTTTTTCTCCTCTCCCTGCCTGTGCAGGGTGCTGACAGAACTAGTATCCAAGATGCGAGACATGCAGATGGACAAGACAGAACTGGGATGCCTGAGAGCCATTGTCTTGTTCAACCCAGGTATATATTCACCTAATGTCTGGATATTTTACTACAAAAGGCAGTGCAGCTAAGCTGTGCCTGCTGTTTTAATTTGCTAGTTTTGTTTGTTTATATCCAATGATTATTTTACAGTTATATTAAGACTTAGCTTTTGACTCCTATGTTATGTGGGGAAGCAGAGTACCTGGAGACCTGCTGCTCTGACACACCGAGTTGTTAGAGCCAACAAGGTAGGGGCTGCCTTATGGGAGTAGAGCAGTGCCTTGTGGGAGAGTTAAAATCAGTTAGAAGAGAGGCATATCTTTCACTGATGTCACTTCAAATTTATACAGTAGGTGCCGGACACAGGTGTCACAGCCTCACTGAGATTATAGCTAAATAATGCTTGCTCCTATCCCAGTGGTGTCTTGCCTGCATTGGTACATGGGGAATCCTGTAGGTTTGCACCATCTACTTCCAGGTCAAAGGGTGCAACCTGCACTTTGATCACCTTGACTGGTGGAGCCACTCGGGATTCCCATGTCTGGTTTTGTTGTCAGAGAGCCATGCAAGTCAGTGCTATGATCTAAAACCAAGAGTTGAAAAAATAATGAGCATGAAAATCTGAAAGTGAGAACATGTGTTCCCCATGAATAATGATTTAATATTCTTGCTGTTGTATACATTTAAATGTCAATATTTCATTGTGTCACAAAACAAAATGCTTTTGGCATCACAGAGCAATAAGTAACCATTTTTGGCAAATGTTGGTAGCTGGGCTAAAAGTATTTTTTCCATGGATATAAAACCCTCTTTAAAAACAGTCATGCTAAGAAGTTGCAGGTGGTAAATTCATCATTATGCAAGATACATCCTTGGAAGACAGGATTTTCTGTACTGGAGTTTTCAATCTGCCTTTGTGAAAAATTGATTTTCCTGGCCTAGTTTCAAAATGTAGAGCTTTTTCAAAGCCCTTTTTAATACTGCATCACCTCTCACCATGTTAAAATGGCTGTGCAACTTGGTCATAGTGCTCCAACTTGAAATGTGCTCTATGCAATTAAATCAAAACCTGAAATAATTTTAAAGGTAAAAGCATTTAAAAAATCCACAGTAACTAAATTTTCTTAAATATGTGTGTGTGTCTGGCTAACACACACTTCCCCATAGAAAAGCTGGCAAAGCAAAGACATAAAACTGAATGCAAATTACAAATAGATAGCAAAAATTCTATTCATACTGTGAAGTTTCCTAATTTTTATTTATTTATTTTCTGTATCACTGTGTTTTTCTTTACAACTGAAAGTATATCTCTTAATTTTAAGATTTTATTTTTACACTTGGTTTGTAAAGCATGTTAAGATACTATTTGTATGAAAGGTGCTCTAT